TATTTATAAATAGCCAAAATAAAGTAAAAAAAAAAATAGTTACAATTTAAAAAAAAATTTTTAAATTATGAAAAAAAAAATATTTATTTTGTTCCTTTTTGAGTTAATGTTACATTAAAATTGCCAACTTTGTGAAATTTTCTTTATATTTTGAGCAATTAATTTCGTTACTCTAGATCAGCCAAATCACCCACTGTGCGACGGCTTAAACACGACTAAGAAAACGGAACTCTTGACGATAGGAACACAGAGAGGAAAAGCATAAATTTTCATTTGCATCAAATTTATTGCCCAACCGACGTTAGCACCTCATAGTATAAATATTAAGATTTGTGTATTGCAATCGATAGTTTGTCGATTGTTCTTTAATGTTCCTCCATTTTTAAAGTTTTTTCAATAGCCAAAGATGATAATTTTTCAATTTTCAATTTACGTAATTCCTGTATTTAGCACCCGCAACAGATGGGTTAATTATTAGTTGTGTTTAATGAGCTGCTCTAGGTTGCGCCAGGTTAAGATATCTCACAAAATTGTGTTTCATGAGGATTTCTCTTGCTCTAACTTACTCTACTTTTTGTTTCATGGGCATGCGCTAAGTGGAACTGGAGCAACTTAGAGCACGATTTTCTGCACCAACTTTTTTAATGGAGTAACTTAGAGCAAGCAACCACACAAACACACACTTTGCAATTGACGAATTGAACTGTCGAGCAATCAACTGTTTTGAGAATTTATGCCTGAAAAGTGTTTCATGAGATTTATGATCTGAGTTGCTCAAACTTGCTCTATTGTTTTTTTTGGCAGGTGCTCTATTCTGATCTAACTTGAGCTGCTCTGAACTTTTTTCGGTTTCATTAAACACAACTATTATTGCAATCAATAGTTCGTTCGATTGTTCTTCATTGTTCGTCCATTTTTAGCGTTTGTTCTTCAGCCAAACATTTTAAATTAATTTTTTACATTTTACAGTTTCTGCATTTAGCACCCCAGGTGTAAGGATTTCATTATTTTAATTGTATACCGTTTATTCGTCGTTTTTTCATCCGATTTAATTAAAAATTTATTTTTTTATTAGGTTTAGGTGCCTACAAAAATGATCGATCAAATAAAAGGATGAGTCATGTGAAATATTTTTGTTAGTACATGCTTTTCTGGGATTACAAAATAGAAAATTAATTTGAATTCATTTTTTATGCGGTTTGTGTCACAACTAAATTGGATATGTATTATAAATTAAAATTTGATTTCCTTCCTCCCTGTGTTTGTGCCAACTCCAATTCCGTTTCCTCAGTCGTATTTTAACTTCGGCAAGTGTTTACTGCTCGTTTTTCTGCGCTTCGGTTCTAGTGAAAAGTTGTATTAAATTGTGATTTAAATTAAGTATTTAAGTGCAAAAAGTGTTTTGTAAAGTTTTTGTAGTGGTGCCGTTGTTTGCCGAGGGCCATCGTTCATATGTATGTGTGCTTGTGTTCATAAACATGTTACTGATGAGGTCTTGCATTTCTACACTTCTCAATTGCTTTTTAATTTGGTCAAAAGAACGGGTGAGTCCCAAAAAATATTATATATAGTTTAAATCATGATTGTTTAATTTTAGCAATTTTATATGATAAAATGCTTTTTATATCTCCATACCATGTTCTTTTATTAGCGATTTTACTTGACTTTCGCGTATTTTTTGTACAGTAAATTACCACAACTTGCGTGTCACTGGAATTTTATAAGATGGTATATTTTTAAATTAAATTCTAAAAAAATATTTTTGAAGCGTTTTTGATTCTGAAATTTACGTAAACTATTCGGGACATTCCAAAACTTCATAAAGTTTAATTTGTTTTCAAAAATATTAATACGATTTTTAGCAGCACGCTTCCAATGTTAAATTAAATGTACAATATATTGTACAAATGCAGGGAAAGGGTTAAAAATGATCATAATTGTGAAAAATTACAAATAAATTTTCGTTCAGAATTTTCAACATGAAAATTTGATAGCCCGTAAAAAAATCTATAGAAGTCATAGTTTTCGAACTATTTTTTACCATTTTCTGTCTAATTCCCAGCTAGTCGAAAAGTTGCTTGTTTCGCACTGTTCAGCGCGCTTGCGGCATTCGACGTGAATTGGCTCATATCTAAAGCTGCGACGTACTTTTGGATGGCGATAACACATTATGTTTGTTTTTGTTTCAAAATAGTTTATGTCTCTCAGGAATGAGTTTTTTTATACAATCAAACAATCAAAATTTTGAAAAGAATGCCGAGTGAATGCAGATCCAGTTGATTCAACCATTTTACAGCTCTGTTTTACAAGCCGCTTGTGTGGTGTATTTCGCCCTTAAGGCCGACTGATGGGCAATCGAATGCTGCATTGTGTAAAATTAACTATCGAGCTATCGATAAATCACTTATTTTATTTCCACCAGATGTGGCACCACCACCTTATCTGCTTTTATCAGCTGTTCATGCAAATTGTTTATTTCGCTTGGAAGCTATTCCTTCGCTTAATTATTACAATTCTCTTCATTATGTTCTTATCTGTCGTTCTTTGTTGACGCATTTGGAAACGTATACAAAATTCTAACATTTAGAAAAGTGATGTAAACTAATGAACGGACAGAGAAGAGCCGCAATTGTATGTGAAAAAGTGTACACGCGTCAAAGGCTCATCGGCGAACAGATGTATTAAGTTTCGGTTAGAAAAGTAAAATAAAATTCGTATTACCATACGCCGTATAAAATTGTAATAAAGATACAAAACATAAGCGCTGAATTTTTGGTGGACGCAGCAGGTGGGCGTATGGTACACGCGTGGTGTAAATTTGACTCGGTGTTAAAATGGTTTTCTTTTGCGATTGCTTCAACGGTGGCTATCAACAGATAGATGCGGCCAGACAAGGTAAGCCCCATATCAACAGATATCACTTAATGTAATTGTAAATTCCGTACTTTATTATTTGTTTTCAAATCGGATGTGTCTAGGATCACGTCTAGGAGTACGACATCTGCAATGCTTCCTTGCCTTTTGCGGGCTGGCAATCGCTTATGCTTTGCGTGTTAATCTCTCTGTGGCTATAGTGGCGATGACAGATCGGAATGGAACAAATCCTGCATTTGAAGTGAGTTATTTATTTTTTATTTTCTATACAGACTACATCAAGGATTATAGAATACAAGATTCTCTACCTCGTAAAACATACGTGTACATATGTGGCCATGGATTGTGCTAAAGTAGATGTGCTAATCAAACAATATCTAGGAAAATATTGTATGTACATATCTATTACATATCGAATTTGTAAAACTAAAATAACACGACCTTATCAATTGTTTTGTTGTTTTTGTTGTTCATCAAATGCGTCATCCCTGGATAAACGATATCTATCATATTTCAAACCTAAATTTTTTTTGAGTGTTTTGCACTATAAACTTACTGCATATGTAATTATGTACATAACTACATAAGTATTCCGCAACACAGTACTCCTCCACTTGTATGTACGTACATGGCTTGATTTCAGGACTTATAGAATATTTAGGTACATCTTGAATAAATATGTATTAATATTATTATTTTTTGTGTGTTAAAACAAGGCTGCATATACTACACTACTATATACCACTTATTTATTCATTGCCATACACATGTATATTTATGCGAACATATGTTGTCACAATATACCTTATATATATATCCCTTACAGGAATACGATTGGGATGAAAGCGTTAAATCTTATCTTCTCAGCAGTTTCTTTTGGGGCTATGTGGTAACACAAGTGCCTGGTGGTTATCTCGCTCATCACTATGGTGCAAAATATACTTTCCTTTTTGGTGTTCTCATTTGCTCTTGCCTCGCTATTTTGACACCCGTTTGTGCCAGAATAGGAGATTGGCCTTTGGTGCTAGCGCTGCGTGCCACTCAAGGTCTATCACAGGGCATGATCTTCCCATCGACTCACACATTCCTCTCAAAGTGGGCACCAGCTGAGGAACGTGCTCGGCTTGTTAGCTACTGTTATTCCGGTTCGCAATTCGGCACCGTGGTTATGCTTTTCGTTAGTGGTTACATAGCATCTTCATGGCTTGGCTGGCCTAGTATATTTTATCTGTCCGGTATCGTGGGCATTTTATGGTCATGCGTTTGGTTTTACTACAGCTCTAGCACACCAAATGAACATCCATCGATTAGCGTAGCCGAGTTACGGTACATTGAGTCATCAGGTCAAACACGTCGTCCTTCGGATGCTGGGCGCACTTCACATGTTCAAACTCAGGCGCACAAAGTGCCGTGGGCTAAAATGTTCACTTCGCCGCCATTTCTCACGCTAATTTTCGTGCATTCTGCAAATAATTGGGGGTTTTGGACTTTACTCACCGAAATACCGACATACTTGAAAAATATACTCGGCGTGGATATACGCAATAATGGACCTCTCTCAGCGCTGCCATACCTTGCGATGTGCCTGCTCTCATATGGTTTCATCTT